CCAAAAATTCAGAAAAACATCCCAAAAAATCACCCCAAATCCTCCTAAAATTCCACGAAATTCCTCTAAAATCCCCAAAATTTCCCAAATTTTTTCMAAATTTTCCCGAAATYCCCAGATTTCACCCCAAATCTCACCTGGATCAGGAGGCGCCGGGACCTCTCGAGGCGCCGCACGCGGCTCAGGCCGGCGGCGTGACAGAGGGACACGGCGTTGGTGGACAGCGGGGTGCACATCCCCAGCCTGGAAAAACCCCAAATTCCCAACATTCACCCCAAAATTCTCAAAAAAATTAAAATTCCTGAAATAAATAGGAAAAAAAAACAAAAAAAAACCCACAAAAATCCCATCAAAAACCCAAAATGCTGCCCAAAAGTGGCTCAGGGAAACGGTGTTGGTGGACAGCGGGGTGCACATCCCCAGCCTGGAAAAACCCAATTTTCCCCCCATTTTTTCCCCCCAATTTTCCCCCAATTTCCCCCAATTCCCCCATTTCCCCCATTTCCCGATTTTCCCAAAATCCCCATTTTTCTCCCCACACCTGGGCCCGATCTCCAGCAGGACGTGGTGCCCGCGGGGGCTCAGGAAGCTCTGGGGGGCCACGTCCTCCCCCTGGGCCTGGGGGGACCCCAAAATCCAGCGCAGCGCCCGCTGCTCCTCCTCGTTTGGGGCGGAATCACCTGAAATCACCAAAAAAAAAAAAAAAAATTGGGAAATCCTAAAATTTCCAAAATAACTCCCCAAAAAAATCTGTTAAAAATAAAAAAAATCCCATAAAAATCCCATTAAAATAAAGAAAATCCCATCGCAATCATTTCAAAATCAAACGGTTAAAATAAAACCACAAAAATCCCACAAAAATACCCCAAAAAATCCATAAAAATCCCATTAAAAAAAACCTCCACAAAATTCCACTAAAAATACCCAAAAATCACCAAGAAATCGCCAAAAAAAATCGGAAATATTGCAACCTCCCCAAACTTGCCCCAAATGGGGTTTTTTGGCCCAAACTCACCGGCCCAGCCCAGGTAGTAGCAGAGCTCGCAGCCGACCCCGGTCACCCCCGGCTCCACCCCTCGGGCCGCGCTCAGGGGGGACCCCAAACCCGAGGGGACCCCGAGATCGGGAACCCCCCCCGGGGAGAGCTCGGGGCGAACGTAGAAACGGAGCAGCTGCATCTGAAACGGGAAAACAAACAAACACACGGGAAATGGGGGCAGAATTGTGGAAATTGGGAAATAAACCTGAAATCCTGGAAATCCTCCAATTCGGGGGAATCTCCTCAGAAATTCCCTTAAAATCCAGGAACCAAAGCGCCCAAAACTCCCCCCAAACCTCAATGAGCCCAAAATTTCCCCAAAAACCCAAAAATCCCCAAAATTAAAAAAAAACCCCAAAATAACCCAAAATTCCCCAAATCCCACAAAATTCCCAAAAATGCCTAAAATCACACAAAATCCCCCCAAATTCTCCCAAATCCTCCAAAAATTGCCCCAAAAACTCCCCCAAATTCCCCCAAATCCCCAAAAAGTTCCCAAAAAATTCCACAACATCCAAAAAAAAATCAAAAAAAATCCCAAGTCCCCCAACATCCCCCAGAAGAATCCCCAAAAAGCCCTCAAAATCCCTCAAAAAATCCCTAATATCCCCAAATTCTCCCAAATCCCCCAAAAATTCCACAAAATTCCCGCAAATTCCCCTAAAATTTCCCCCCAAAAATCCCAAAAGTGCCCTGAAAATTCCCAAAAGATTTCCCCCAAATCACAAAAATCCAAAAACAAATCTCCCAAAATTCCCCAAAATCTCCCAAAATCCCCGCAAAAAAATCTGCCAAATTCTGCAAAATTCCTCAAAATCAAAAAAAAATCCCCCAAAACCCCCCCAAAA